TACGGGTTGTCTAACCCAATCCTTTTCATGAAATGGACCAGATCTCGAGTTAGGCTGAAGTCCAGTCCCATCCAGTCCTTTGTACAGCCCTAGTCTGCATACATGTTATGCCCACTAACACAAACAGATATATATATCCGGTATCTACTTTATTTTTTTAATTTCTTCTTCCTTTTTTTTAAATAACAATAATAATAGTAATAATAATAATTATATTTCTTAGGAATTTTAATATAGAATTTTATCCTAAATTAGTTTAATAATTATCTTATAAATAATTTACTTATCTCTAAATATTTTTTTAAATTTTTATTAACCTGAATTGACTATTAAAATTTAAATTAAAACATTACAACTGTGACTATTAAAAGCCAAAACAATATATCACTAAACTGGCACTGTTTAAGAGAAGAGATCGCTAGTTAGTAGTAGAAATCTACCTCTTGGATTGAAAATAAAAATAATATATATAAATAAAAAATCCATGACAAAAGAAAATGTCAAAATATCAAGATGATCGCCACGCCTTTTAAATTAACGTCATTTTATTCTTCTTAAGGTTCTAATGTATTCTTCTTTTTATTGACCCTCCACCTCCTTGCGCTCTTTTTTATAATTTGTAAGCCACAAAATATTCATATATACATGGTAATTAAGATATAAAACAAAATGTTTATTTTATCAACTTTAATTCATATACACATAGTGAAGAATAAAGATGGACATGTTTACAATAAAATTGAGGATGGTGTCTTTACCCCAATACTTCAATGATGCCAAAGTCATAGGCACATGTTAGAGCTTCTTTATTATCATACATCCTTAAAAACCCTAAGTTTTGGAGCCATTTATTAACATTGACATCTAATCCTATTGCCTTGGAATGGATTATCATATCAACTTCTCAAACATGAGTAAGTTAATTGAAAACAAATAACAAAAATAAATAAAAAGAGAGAAGATGGGAGAAAGGATAAGTAAAAAGGAAGAAAAGCCTGAGAGAGAGAGAGCACTAAGCGAAGACTATAAAACCAAAGCATAACTAAATTATAGTAATTGTCATTGCACAAGGCACTGTAAAATAAAGCCTATCAAAACCATCATGACATTTGCAAATAGATATATATAGACTTTATATGATAATCAAGGCTATTAAGCACAAATGAGGTAATGATGAAGACTTAGGATAATAGTTTTGCTAAATCCGTAGCCTGAGTTTTCACAAAAAAAGTTTATGGTCCTTATGGCATATTATCTCTCCTTATTGCATCTTTTTTCAGCTTAATTTAAAAATTGTTAGAGAAAAGTGTTGACTTTATGCAAAACTCAAATTGCCATTGGAAAAGAATTGGCAGCTAGCAATGCCTTCAAATTTCTTTATTCTATTAAAAAGAAAAGGCAATGCCAAAGATTTAATATGCTTTAAAATGGTTATTGCACATACATGTAAATAAGAATCATATTATAAATTAACAAATTCTCAAGTTTGAGTATGGCTTTAATTAACTGAAATGTGTTGCAATAAGAAATCTGAAAGGTAAGAAGTTGCATTTAATACTCACAACTTGAACATATTGGCACAAAAAAGCTATTTAAAGGCATTAGAGATAAGTTGGAATTGCAATCGACTTGCTGCCATAAACCTCCTAAAGTTATGATAGTTAATTAAATAATAGATGTTCATAGTCGAGCTTATATAAATGAAGATGCTTATATAAAAAATGAACATGTTTATATATAGCCTTAGACCAATAGGAACATGCCTCCCTATTAACTAGTCCGAATGTAACCTTGCCAAGAACAAAATACTAACAATAAGAAACTTAAGTTTAAGCCACATTGAAAAGAATCATTCAAATCCCAAAAACTGTGTACATCGTTTAAACAAAAAAAGGTGTGCACAGTATCCTTTATTGATTGTCTATTATTTTGTCCATACCTCAACAAATGAAAAGAAGTTCTCAAAAAGCTCACTGTGGCCAAGTTGCTTTTATAGAAGGCAAAAGGATACAAAATACTTTTATATCATTAATAACATGCAGCAACATAAGGCAGGACTTGCAGTGTTTAACCAACATGAAGGAATAGGTGAAGAGGAAGGGGGGGAGAGAATTACTTTAGTATTTTTTTTAATGGAAGATGGAGCACATATTAACATAATCCACACAAGTAGATAAATACAAGAGGGTGAGGATTAGTACATTTCACAGTCTACCCCCTCCTTAAAGCATGGAGGATTGATAATAAAATGCACCAAAGTGATCATCAAGGCTATGTAAACCTATTCTAATTAATAACCTCTCTAATTTGGTCACCATTGTTAGTGCAAGAGTATAACCAAAAAACATCCCAATATCTCTCACAACTATCTTCCCAGCTTCATAAAGAATTTCATATAGTGGATTGGTTGTTGATATATCCCGATTCAATAGATTAAAACTTTGAGCACAATTTAGTTCCACCTCAACGTACCTAAAACCTCTACTCCAACAATGTTTAATTAAAAAAATAGTCAAAACTTGATAGCAAGCTAAACTAACCAATGTAAAGAACAACACAAGGGAGGAGAAATGTTAATACTTTAGGATGGCATGGTCATGAAAATGATCAATTTAACTAGCAATGTGTTATGTTGAGCTTGCACATGTAAGTACATCTAAAAAGCAAGACTTGCGGGCTTTACATAACATGACAAATATGCTCACCTCTCATAAAAATATGCATATTATAAATTGATTTAGTTATTTATCCAATCCTTAATGTATAAATTTTTTGGGAAGAAGGGAGAATTCTTCGAGGCTTTTGAATCTTTTTTTAAATGAATCATACCTTAGGGAGATATGTTTAAGACATATTTATCAGTTACATGCCAACAAACAAAGTATGAAAACTCAAAATGTTGGGAAATTGCAACAATTTCAACAAATGAAAAACAAGGCACAACAAATTAGTGATGAAGAAATTATTATAGTAAATTAAATGAAAAATAAAACATAACTCGCCAACATGAAACAAACAGCATTAAAGGAGAAGCTTTTATAAGCATGAGAGCTCATGTGATATAAATTGTATGACTTTTCAAGCTATTGCTCTTTCCTTTGAAACTTTATAGTAAAGAGAAATATGTGCCAACAAAAAATAGAGAAAAAAGATACCACTAATAGTGAAATAGTTGGAGAGGTTTAAATTTTGGATAATATTTACTGCAATATGACCTTGCCTTCAATCAAGACATCACTCTAGCAAAATTGGTCTTTGATGATGCTTTTGATTGAACATTTTTAGATAAACTAAGCGAGTTAAAAATTTTAGGTCACCTTCTTTTTGAATAAGAGTCAAATTTTATAAAAGCTACTCGTATCAATTCTATAAAATAGGATATAGAATTTTAGATATATCCACATACTCGAATTAGTTAGCAAGAAAGCATTAATGAAATAGGAAACTCATTGAAGAATAAAATCTAGGAAGCTAGATTGGAAATTGGAAGTGAGAATCTCAAACAAACTAATAGCTTACCAAGGCTTAAAAGGGCAAAGGGTTCTCACTTTCGCAAAAAAATAAGGCAATGAAAATTTTTTTTTGGTTGCTCTCGATCTCTTGCATAGCTTAATCTTGATCAGTAGCGCTGGCTGATAGTAGGATAAAGCTCCAATTGCCACTCGAACCCTTTCATTGGCTTTGTGCTTATCCCCTCCCATCTACTTCTAACACGTTTTCTCCTTCATCTCATTTGCCCTATTATAATGCCTAAAATCACAATCTATGAACAATAAAAGCAAAAACATGGAAATTTTCTAATCTTGATCGAGGATGATGAAGAATTAAAGAGGATGACAACGAAGACAAATGAATTACCAGGAAATAAAGAAATAGTTGAAAGGAGGTTCATCCACCTTTTGTAATTCCACTACCAGCTTGCTCTCTTCAATTTATATTCCCCCTCATTTGACTTTACCCTTCATAGATTAAGAACCTCCTTTCCCTTGGCCATCATCGAAGGAAGAGGCACTAAGGAGTAACCACTATCACATACAAATAGATTTGTTGCTCACACGAGAAACTTAAAGGAGAGAAGTTGATGATGTTGGGACACAAGCAACGATCTCTTTGATTTATTAAAAAAAGTTAAATGAGAAAGTGGCCTATAGCCATTGGCCACTAGCATATAAGGATATTGTTTGGGCCTAAAATAAAACAACATTTGATTATAGCTTAATAGTACAAAAGAGGAAATATTAGGCCTAATAAACCATCCATTGAGATAAGGCTTGGACCATTTAACAAGAAACCTTTCGGAATAAGTAAGTGCTGAGTGATGGAGGAAACCTGACTCGTAAGACTTGGAGTTGTTGAGTTAAGAAGACCATTATTTGGATGTGCCTTGAATCTAGTGAGACCACAACTAGCAAGAGCAAATATTGCGACATGAAGCAGCCAGGCTCCTAGTTTTATAGAGAAAATGATCTAAAACAAGCAACGAACAGAGTTCCAAAGAACTCACACAACACTGTGCTACTTAAGTTATCTTTTATATTACCTTATCTTTAGAATTTAACTCTTATTTCAATTCTTTGTAATCATGTAATTTTTACATCATTAATCAAGCTCTTTTCCTCATAATTATTATTGCATCTTTACATCTGAACAAACTATAACAAGAAAGCTCAGTGACCTTTTTTAACATTAAGATTTCATGTTTTTGGCACGCTTAATATTGCTCTAAATCACAAACAATAAGTCAACCGTAAACCCTCGTTTGATGAACTATTCAAAATCATATAAAATATTTACCAAATGTGCAACCCTAAAAAACCCAAATAAACGGAATAAAGAACGGGAAATTAAGGGCCCCAGTGTTCCGGGCCGCGGAGCGGAAAGTGAACGATAAAATATCTTAACCGACCTTTATCTGTGCAAGGACAGCAGAATATCCCATCCGCTATGCGCATTATATGGTGATTCACGGGGGGTAACGTAGTCATTCCATTTAGAGTCCCGTGCCCTAGTTCTCCAGACAACCTATACGAGAAAGAAGCCTTTGCGGCTTCTCACTCCGAATCATTTGAACGCACGGGGAGTTTTAGCGTCTAGGTTGGGAAAAATTGTGTGCATCTTTGTTTATCGTCTAAAACCAACGAACACAGCGAGGGATTCAAGATGGGAGTCCCGGCGTTTTATCGTTGGTTGGCGGAGAAGTATCCGTTAGTGGTGGTGGACGTGATCGAGGAAGAACCTGTCGTAATCGACTGCGTCGAAATTCCCGTGGATACAAGTAAGAAAAACCCTAACAACATCGAATATGATAACCTCTACCTCGACATGAATGGCATCATTCATCCCTGCTTCCACCCCGAGGATCGGGTACGCTCAAATTTACTCATGTCATTTCGCCGCTTCTATTTCATCGGGCTCTGGCTGAGTGTTCGATCAATGCCTCCTCCCTTTGCTCGATGTTACGTATTGCACGTCACGCATTTTTAATTAGCGATGAATATTAGCTGTAGGTCATTTTATTCTCTTCAAGACGACCTCGATGAGATCATAATGAATCACCAGGCGTGAATAGGAATGCAATGTGTTGAATGCTAATTTCTTTACTGGATTTTTGGAGCAGATGGAGTGATACTATATGTTCTTTGAGTTTCTAATCAAGTTTATATTCTTTCCTTATTTCTTCTAGCTCGAGTATTATTTGGTTTCATGTTCATGATACGCTGTCACTTGTTGTTGCTTTAATTGCCGGTTTCTGATCCTCATTAAGGGCTGTGTAGAGTTAGAATCGATTTTTAATTAAATTATTGTTGTTTTTAATCTTGAAATTTTGAATTTCTCTGCTGAAACTACTCCATTTTTTCTTTTATTTTGCACACCGTCACCCTGAGGTAGATGTTTACTTATTCTTCACCACATTGCTTTTCATGCATTGCAGCCATCCCCAACTACATTTGACGAGGTGTTCCAGTGCATGTTTGACTATATTGACAGGTTATTTGTCATGGTGCGGCCTCGGAAGTTGCTATTTATGGCCATTGGTATGTGTTTGGATTGGTCTTGTTGATGTTAATGATGTTATGGTTGTCATGTACATTGTGAATGAATCTTATTGTGTCTCATTGTAGATGGGGTTGCACCAAGGGCTAAAATGAACCAACAGAGATCTAGACGGTTCAGAGCAGCAAAAGATGCGGCAGAAGCAGTATGTAATGATAGTTTTTACAGTCAACTCATCATCATCATCATCATTATTTTTATTAAAGGACAATAACAGTGCAATGTCTTTGGTTCAACAGAAGAGTGCTGATTTCGAACTGGTGACTTGATTGGTGATGCTAAATTGCTCTCACCATCAAGCCAACATTTCGAATGGCTGACAGTGACAATGTTTATTTGCCCCTACTTATTTTCTTCCGTGTTTTTGAATCATAGGCTGCTGAAGAAGCAAAGTTGAGGGAAGAATTTGAGAGGGAGGGTAGAAAGCTTCCACCTAAAGAGGATGTACAAGTTTTTGATTCAAATGTTATTACCCCGGGAACTGAATTTATGGCTGTTTTGTCAATTGCACTTCAGTACTACATTCATCTTAGGCTGAACAATGACCCTGGTTGGCAAAATATTAAGGTATGAAGCTCATCATACCTTTTCAATTGTCTATAAGCTGGCATAGGTGCCTTGATTGAGAGGAATTTAATGCTATAATGCTTTTTATGCCTGAAGGTTATTCTTTCTGATGCGAATGTTCCCGGTGAAGGGGAGCACAAGATTATGTCATATATTAGGCTTCAGAGAAACCTAAGTGGTTATGATCCAAATACACGGCACTGCCTGTATGGTTTGGTATATCTCTTATGTCATACTTCAATACACAGTGATTGTTGAGAGTTCAGCTTCTTTTGTGCTTCACTCCATGTCTTTGCTTCATTGATTATGGACTTATTCGATCATATTGTCATTTGGTATCACACGGCAGGATGCGGATTTGATTATGTTGGCTTTAGCTACCCATGAAATTCATTTCTCAGTTCTAAGAGAGGTGCGTGATTTGTTGATCTTTACTTAAAACCTTTGACTAGTGTGGGTACCTCTATGATGATAGTCACAGAATGAATTTGATTACTGTTTTGTGCTTCATTGATTTTCTCACTGCATTTTGTGAGCGATTAAACTGATGGTGAAATTTGCAGATTGTATTTACTCCTGGACAAGACAAATGCTTCTTATGTGGTCAGATGGGTCATGTGGCTGCAGATTGTGAAGGTAAGGCTAAAAGAAAGTCAAGAGAGTGCGATGAAAAAGGCAGTCCTGTGGTGGCTAAAAAGCCCTTCCAGGTAGATTTTACCTAGTTAAACTTTAAAGCTTCTGTCATGTTCCACATGTGACATGATAGTCTAGACTTTAAGTTACTCAGACTTACATATCTTCTTTCTTGTTCAGTTTCTAAACATTTGGACTTTGAGGGAATATCTGGAATATGAGATGAGAATACCAAACCTTCCATTTGAGATTGATTTTGAACGCATTGTGGATGATTTTATCTTCATGTGTTTCTTTGTTGGAAATGATTTTCTACCACATATGCCTACACTAGAGATTCGTGAGGTATGATTTACTCTAGACCTCGTTGCATTCTGTTTCTTTTACCTGTTGCATTTGATTGGCTATTCATATTATAAGGCTGATATTTTGTACATGGATTTGGTGTGGAATTTCACATTGACTTAAATAGCTAGTTTTCTTTGCTGATGCAGGGGTTAGTCCCCTCCCTCTCCTTTTTGGTTTGGTTTTACAATGGTGGCCATTGCAAAATATGTTGGTCCCTATTGAAAGTGTTGGATATGACTGCCATGTTGTCCTGTAATTATATCATCCCTTGTCAAAGTCTAAAAATGCACGGTATGAATCTTTGTTTTAGTGTCTCTACTGTAAAATGTGTGTTGATTAACCCTGAAAACATTTAAAAATAAATTGGTTTATTAGCTAAGTGGGGTTTCTGTGATTTAATATTTTGGGAAGCTATTGTTCAGGTGACCTGCACTGTGTATTCTTGCAGAAATCTAGCATCCCATGAATTTTACTATGTAGTCACTTAGGTCTTGAATTCAAATTTTGCTTTTAGGTTGTGTCTAGCTATGTGTCTTTCCTGTTACAAACAACAGACTGGAGAGTGTGATCTCAGGTTCTGAACCCAGTATTTTTGTTGAGAATTGAGATGTCTTAAGATCCCATAATTATTGAATAAGCTGATAATCAACTGTAATTTTTCCTTTTGTCGCAAAAGAAGGTGCTAATGTTTTTGATAATTTTTGAAGTTGTTTATTGCTTGTGTTAGAGGCTGATATGATATTTTTGATCAAAACATGACAATGTTGGTGGTGTTAGATAATCGCATCTGTATATGATTCTTTGGTACTATATCTGATTTTTCCCCGCTTGGCCTAAGGCCATGTGTCTGATCTATTTCTGGGAATTCCGTCTTATGTATTCCTCTAGGGTGCAATCAACTTGCTGATGGCAGTATACAAGAAAGAATTAAGGTCTTTGGGAGGTTATTTAACTGATGGAAGCAAGGTATATAATGTTAATTTGGGTCAGACATGTTGTGTTCTGCTGTGTCAAATTTCATATAATTAATGTTTGTTTATAACTTGTCTTGTTTTCTTCCTGCTTTTTCCCCAGCCATGCTTAAGCAGGGTGGAACGCTTTATTCAGGCTGTTGGATCTTACGAAGATAGAATATTCCAGAAAAGAGCTAGGTTGCATCAGGTCTGTTTTCATCTGATTTTGTTGTATAGTGATGCGCTTAGCTCAGAAGATGGCACTAAATATTTCCATTTATCAGGAGTGCTATATTTTACTCATTTCAGGCCTCTATTTAGTTATGTTATGGCACTGGCACTTTTATTTTCACATGTATCATGCGTCGAACTTGTCTGAGATTACTGCCATGATACGTTCACATGCATATGCATTTAAATAAATGTTGGGTTCAGATTCACGCTCAACATGGCTCAAGCTTGGACAAGGCCCCAAAAAAAAAAGAAGACTAGAAATCCATTTTTGATGTAGTTTTTTAAGCAAAGCTATATTCTGGTAAAATGTCCTTGATATACAGGACAGTCTTATTTTTGTTTGATTTAGAAGGACATCACTAATTCAATGTTTAAGATATTGGGTCGAATATTATACATGTATGCTTTGTTTTGTCTATATCTGTTTACCTGTAGGATACTTTCAATGATAGTTGTTCATCACATTGAGATATTTTTCATCCAGTTTGTAATTTGCAGTTGAGATTGAGACTTTATGATGAAGAATGGGAAAAGAATGTTGGGGAGATATTAGAAATTATTTCTATATTAGGGATTATGATAGACATATCAATTGGAAACTATCGTACTGGTCGATCAGTTTTGCTTTGAATTTGATTATCCTTTTGTTATACTTTTATTATTTTAGCTTATTTACCTGATGAGGATTAATCTCTTGGCCCTATATAAAGCCTTCAATTATTTGGGTTTGGGCTTCTTTTCTTTTCTTTCCTTTTTGATTTGTTCATTAAAAAGGTTCTCTTGGTTTACTGACCATCTCCCCCCTTTTCCTTGATTATTTCTATCCTGTTCTCATAGAAGAAATAGGTAGATATTAAAAAGTTTGTATTCATGTTATATATGTTGGAGGAGGAAGAAAGAAGTATGCTAAGAGGTAAAAACTTGGTAGATATTAAAAAAGTTTATATTCATGTTGATAAACTCTCATCTTTCATATTTTCTTCTGTTGATGCGAGAATTAGTGAGATACTGTGATAAATTTTTGCTTGTTCCTAGAACTAGACATTTTATTCCCCAGCACATATGGACACTTTAGTTCTAGTTATATTAGAATTGAGATGGTGACTCTTATTTCTTTTTTCTTCAGAGGCAAGTTGAAAGAATTAAACGTGACAAGGCCCATGCACGAAGGGGTGATGATGCTGCACCATCAGTTCTCCCGGAGTCTCTTGTTCCAGTTTCACGGTTCCATGGTTCTCGTCTTGTTTCAGCCCCAGCAGCCCCATTTCAACAATCTGGGCTGAGTTATAAGTCAAATGGCTTAAAATCAACTAGAAACCAAGTTGGCCAAGCAACAACGGAGCTCTCAAATCTTGAAATAGGCAAGCCTTCTTGGGGTAATAAAGACAACTCTGAGCGGCCTCGCAAAGTTGCCAAATTATCTTCAGGAGCAACTATTGGTGCTGCTATTGTTGAAGCTGAGAATAGTCTTGAAATAGATGTATGTCTTCATGCTTCAGGAGAGGCATTTTAATGTTATTCTGACTCCATCAACCATTCTCTAGAACTAGTGCACAGGCTAACCTGTGATTGGGTATGCGCGATGAGGGGTTAAAAATGGTTTTTAACATTTCACCAAAGCATTCCGTTATTTGTTTTCAAACTAATTTACTTCCATAGTATTTTTATGGGCTTGTGATTTCGTCTGTCCTTTGTTGATGGGCTGACTTTCTGGTTCAGGTTCAAGATAACAAAGATGAATTGAAAACTATACTTAAGGAGAGGCTGCGTGAGAAATCTGATGCATTCAACTCAGCTAATCCAGAAGCGGACAAGGTCTGAAGTTTAGAATTCACATAAAAATAGTTTGGTTGCCCTGATGTGAATTAGACTTCACAGTTTACATTCTAAACTGAGTTGTCCATGTGCAAATAATCCTGCATATGTATCAGTTTGGTTTCAAGGCTTTCTAAATTTTATGGAGCAACTAATTGCCTACGGTAGGAGCTCATGTTTGTGTTCTATTGATTTTTTTAAAAATAGATGAAGTTTTGCATGACTCTTTGAATTTTTCTATTCTGATCGTGTTTCCAACAAGTTAACTTGCCAATAGGGAAAAAATGGGGGCAAACTTGTTTCTACTTGGTGTAATTATTTATCCAGCTATTGAGTTAATATTTTCTTGCAACGGTTGTTATGTGCTGTTAAAGTGATGACCTGTTTCCCTAATTGGTTGAATGATAGATCCCTTTTTAATGGGCAATTTTCATTTGCTTGTTTTGGTGATGCCTTGAAAAACTTGCTGCAACATACAAATGTTGAATTTAGCGATCTAAAGATGACTTTTTGTTGTCTTTCTGCCCTTGTTCATCATGCTTATCCTTGGATATAGTTTGTTGTTCTGAGAAGTGTCACTAGTGCTAATGCAATGTTTCTGTCATTCTTTCAATATTTCAATTATTTTTATTGCTGAATAGCTATTTTCATGTAATTTCTTTTTTTTAATGAACCATTTAACTTCTCTTTATTTGCTTTAATATATCTTGTTTTAACAGATTAAGTTGGGAGAACCAGGCTGGAAAGAGAGGTATTATGAGGAAAAATTTTCTGCTAAAACTCCTGAGGACGTTGAATTGATACGGAGAGATGTTGTAAGTGAATAATTTGAAGTGTTGCTAAATTTGATTCACATGGAGATCTAGCTTAAATTGCACTTTTGTTGTTTAGGTCTTGAAATACGCAGAAGGCCTATGTTGGGTTATGCACTATTATTATGAAGGGGTCTGTTCTTGGCAGTGGTGAGTTCCTTTCAAAGTACTTCTAGAGTGGTGTGCTGTGCTGAGCGTAGTGCTGAGATGGCTTTCTTTTGCTTACTATTTGTAATAGCCTTTTCTTTTCCTCGTCTTTTAGGTCTGCTCACTTGCTTTAGAACATTGAAATGAATTGGTGGAGTTCCCTCCATTTCGCCGTTTGTTTCGTATATTCATTTATTTATCTTTTTTTTTTGGGGGGGGGTCTTTGGATCGGGTGAGCCGTAACTTTATCAGATTATTGTGGTTCAATTGTGGTTGGGTTGCTATCTGAAAATCCTTTTTGTTTTTGTTTTACTCAATTGGACCGAAAAATAGGTTAAACCTTGGGATGAATCCCCCCTGCCCCGGGTTGAACCCTGGATGAAATCAATGACACTTTTGGTTGATGTTATAAGATCTACTTTGAAGTTACTGGTTTAAATTAATGTTTTAGTTTAAACAAATAGATATGAACTGTAAATGGATCGAAGAACCAATGTATAAATTACGTTTGTGATGCTTATGTTTTCTGGATTTGGTTTGCACCAAGAGCTAAAGGTCTACTTTTTTGTTTTTTTTTTTTTTTTTTTTTGTGGGTGTGTCAATCAGGTTTTATCCTTATCACTATGCCCCCTTTGCATCTGATCTGAAGGGCCTTAGTGATCTTACGATAAACTTCGAGCTGGGGACCCCATTCAAACCATTTGACCAGCTTCTAGGGGTTTTTCCTGCTGCAAGGTTTGCTCGCTGTGCATTTTTGTTCTGATCATGTTGGTATAGCATAGTCCATTATATAAGATATTAATTGTGATTCATCTGCAGCGCTCATGCTCTTCCTGAGCCATATAGGAAATTGATGACTGATCCAAACTCACCAATTATTGATTTTTATCCAATTGGTATGTTGTTTATTTTGAAAATGGAAGTTAAGTATCTGTTATTCTGTTGCCTTTGTTGCTCCTTTCTGACATGTTGCTTTTTGTCAGACTTTGAGGTGGACATGAATGGCAAACGCTATGCTTGGCAGGTGTGTTGCACTTGTACCTTGGTGTATGTTTTAGTATCTTCTAAAAATGAAGATGAGTTTGTTAGGTATTGATAAAATGATTCATAGACCCTTAGGTTCCATTAGGTGTGATGGGATTGAAGGGTATGGTAATGGAGTTGGAGTTGGAAGTCATATCTTTAGCCTGTTTGGCATGTCAAATTCTAATTCCATGTGGAATCAAATTCCACAAAAAGTGGTTGAATTGAATTCTGAACGGTTCCATGGAATTGAGATTTATGACTTTTTTCTCCTCTCTTGTCTCCCTGTTGATGAAAACTCTTCAGCAATGGTGACAGATCTGCAAACCAGGGTTTGCAATCAAGAGCGATGGTGACCTCCTTGGCCATGGTGATAAGTTGAGAGCGGCCTCCTCAGCGACAAGACGTTTCGTCTTCCTTCATCAGTGACCACTGCGATCATCTCCTCTTCTTCACCACCTCCTCTCCGTGATTTCTTTTTCAGATCTCCGGCTTTTCCCAAATTTCCAGCTGCGTGTCATCTTTAGATCTCTAGACTTTAGCTTTGATTTCTCCAAATCTTCATTTCTTCTTCATCTTCTCAACTGTGTTTCAAATCTATTTTCTGATTGTGTCATTTTTCAGATCTGCTTTGGTCTGTTGAATATTTTGGTTGTTGTCATTGGTAGGGGTGGGTGCCATTGATGGCGGAGGGTGTTCTGCAAGTGCAGTTTTTTCTGAGCAAGGGTATTTTGTCTCTTAGCATTGTGAAAATACATTTTAATTAAAAATTATAGAATAATTCCATGAACATGCCAAACATGTTTTTAATTCCCATTTCCACTTCCATATTCATTTCCATTTTCATTAAAATCACTTCCATTATACCAAATGAGGCATTAGATGTTTGACATGATGTGGTCCCTTGACATTGCATGCAATCCTATATAACTGGGTCTGAGCTTTTTAACTCCCTCCCCACATTTCTCTTATTTAAAGGATATGAACAGGGAATGGTGTTTTTGTGCTGTCTCCACAGCAAGTTTAAAAGGTCATTGTTTGACGAGGCAGTAAAAATATTAATAGAACCAATTCTAGACCCTCACTTGATAGATTTAGCCTTATTGAAGTTATTGAATGAGGTAATAGCTACAACTTGTGGAGTCATGATCACGAACATTGATATTGCTTTCCTGTGTAGGGTATTGCAAAATTACCTTTTATTGAAGAAGCGCGTCTTCTTGCAGAAGTTGGAAAAATTGAACACCTCTTATCGGTATAGCACCTTTTTTCCATTCCGTCTGAGATGTGTATGTTTATTTGATCCACCTTTATTGGTCCTCCCCCCTATTTCTTTTTATTTGCTTGCTGAGTTTAGTTTATATCTTGTTATTCATATTGTGCTACGTTATGCAAAAAAGGCAGAGGAAACCCGACGGAACAGTGTTATGTTTGAATTGCTTTTTGTCAATTCTTGTCATCCTCTCTCGGCATGCATAAGCACACTTGACAACAGATGTAGAAAAATGTCAGACAGAGAGCGCATTGAGGTTAAGGAACCAATCAATCCTAAGGAGAGGTTGGTTATGCTTGGCAATTTGTTGAAGGAAATTTTATTATTTGAGGGAAGAATTTAATTATTATTATTATTATTATGCACAGGTGTTCTCCCATTCGAGGGAAGATTTCAATGTGTTGCCTTTTGATGATTGTGTCTTGATTTTTTTTTTTTTTTAAAAAAAAGTTGTGGCTTCTGACCAACAATCCAAGTTTAGATTCCAGTTTTTCTAATGTGATGAAACATGAAGTGATCAGCTTGAGCCTCGATATCATACAAGAATCTTTGTTTTCATTGATTAGCAAACTTGGACTTCTAACTGAGTCATTGGACACAGAACTGAGTCTTTTATGACAACATTTCAATGTTTCCCTTTATGGATTAAGTCATAGATCATATGATTTGTCTTTTTGGATAATCACTTAAAACACAAGCTAGAAAGTCAGTAATATTCTCTGTTAGGTAAGTAAATTTCCCTGAGTTTTTATGACATGTCAATATGTGAGCTTGATACTTCTTAGTAACATGGGTTGATTTAGTTACAAATCTGTTTTGGTGATGGAGCACATTTTGGGTGAAAGACATTGTTTCGAGACAATAAACTGATTTACTTATTCTGATGATCATGATGTGAATATGAAGGAGTGTAGAGGATTATAAAAGAGCAAATGTCCATTACCTTTTGATTGTTAAAAGAAAGAGCTGGATCACTATTTAGACTAGAGTAATCCAAATTGTTCAATTTTGTCTGCTTCTCCGTTATTTTTCTTGATGACATTTAAGACCTGCTTGAACTATTTCTGATGTTATTTAGGGGTACTGCATGCAGTGGTGGAATGAACGGTTACATATCACTATGTGTTGGAGAACCTTGCCCACCAATTTTCAGGTCGCCTGTTGCAGGAATGGAAGATATTGTTGACAACCAAGTCATGTGAGCCTTTCAAGTTCAATATGATAGCAATTTGATTTGACTTGATTTTTGGCCATTGATCTGCTGAAACTTCCTGTAATTTTAATAATTTTCCCATTTCCACTTTTTTGTGCAGATGTGCGATATACAGACTACCAGATAAGCACAAGCACATTACTCGGCCACCTAAAGGAGTTCAATATCCCAAGAAGGTATTTGAATTTCCTAGTTGCTACTTATTTTATCCTCCCTTTATTCTCCAGTTATTATTTGTTAACATGGTATAGGTTTATTAAATTTAGACATCACTGTTTAACATACCCCGTTCTTATGTTTAGTTGGGTTACCTGGTTAATTATGAATTAAGACATGCCTGATTCATAGGAGGAAAAAGTAACATTGAGTTCATTTTTTCCCATACAGATCGTGACAATTGGTGATCTGAAACCTGAACCTGTTCTGTGGCATGAAGATTTTGGTAGGAGAAACTCAGAGAGTGGGAGGTAAGGCTTTGGTTTTTATATTGAAGCCTGTGATTTACTATTTTATTATGCGGAGTTTAACTACCTGGCCCAAATTTTGACTGGGGTAAATGGCTTTTTATTTCAGGCAAAACCCTCCAGGATCCATTTCTGGCAAGCAGCTTGGAGAGGCAGCACATCGACTTCTGGCTAACTCTTTGCAATTGAAGGTCGAATCTAATGGGCATCAACATATGATTAATGGAGAACTTCGTCCTTATGCTGCACCAATGGGCCCTCCGCATTCATTGCTTCCCCATCCAGTGTATGATTCCCGCTCAGGATATCATGGTGCATCAAGACCTGTGTCAACTCCTCCCCCTCAAGGCCCTGTGCTACTGCCACCTTACACTCCTATTCCTACTCAGCAATATGGCTATACTCAACCTTATCCTGGACCATCGATGCATGACTCGCATCATCAATCAAATTATTATGGAAGAAGTAACCATGAACGCCCTAGATCTCATCATTATGGAAGAAATAATTCATCGATGGCTCATGGTAGTGGAGGGAGCGCGAGGCAGAGTTATCAACCATCAGATGCTAATCATAATGCCAGGTTCGTGAATGCACAAGGAAATGTTCCTGCATATAATGGTGCATATAACAATTATCATCACGGTCAGCACGGCTCGAATTTCCACTCAAGTAGAGCATCGAGTCATCAACAGGTTCACCAAAACTGGGTTCCCCGAAGTAACCCTGGTGGTCCTAGACAGCATGGTCACCCTCAACAGTCAGCCAATCGATATTCTCAACTAGATAGAAGAGCAGACAGGAGCCCACAACCCCCACCCTATTATGGCCGCTGATTGATTCATTTTCTGTGAGGAATGTCAGCCCCAAGGAAATGAATATGTTGTACTATATATATTTCTCCCCTCCCCATTTACCTGTGCTTTAATTGATGTAATATTAGCATCTGTTCGTCATTCAAATGTTTAGTCGAGGTTATTTCCTTGCATTTTTGTTTTTCAGTAAGCATGATAAGCAAAAATAATTTGCCATTTTGGCATGGCTGCGTTGCTTTTAGTTTCCAGTTTAATAGTCCAGCCCAAGTGTTAAATTGTTTCCCCCCTCGGGCCCATCTGATCGCATGTAGTTGCAGATACGAATGGTACATTTTGGTTTTTAATTTTTCTTTTGTGCCAAGTATCTGTGATCACATAGGAAGCAGATACCACACCTTTTTAAAGCAGGGTCTGTGAGCCATGGATTACTTTTCAGGAAACTCTTTTGGTGACTAAAAGTTGGAAGCATAACTAGTTTTGGCGGCTAAATTTCGACCAACTTTAGTTGCAGATTGTTTATATTGCTGATGATTACGTGCTTTGACGTTGACGCGGATCTTATGAATATTCAAGAAAATAGATTTGTTGTACTTGGCTTCCACAGCGAGTGGGAGAGGTGGTTGTTCAAAGGAGAGTGATGGTGGGGTACTAATGTGGAGAACGCAGAAGCTGAGAGAAGGAAGCTTTGAGACTTGAGGGTGTGGTAACTGATGGGGGCACAGTCGGTGATCGTGACTGGGGGTGGGATACTCTCCCAGACTCAAGTTTGTTTGAACATAAGTGGCGCCCACTCCCTGGCACAGCTTTGAATTGAAACACACGAGTGCACCCCAGTCCCCGATGTCGGCCCAAGTACAGGCCCATCTTCCTCCTTTTTCTTCCACGCTTGGGGTTTTGTTTTCTTCAAAATTCCCTTTTCATGCCTTCACTAATGCTTGTAAATATAACTCATCCCCCTTTTTCATCTTCGGAAAATTATTCGTAAATACCATTTCTTCCATCAAGTGTTAAATACTTGAATGAACACTTGTAAATTTTCATAGTCTTAGTGTTAAATGCTTGAACATGATCTATGAGAATAAATCATTTCTTAACTCTTTTCTGATTCTTTTTTTTTTTTGGTTTGATAATCTATTGAATTCCAACCATCTTAAGTTGGTGTGGGACAAGTAAATTTAACTGAGAAGGGTATATATTTTACTCTTTCCTCCAAAAAAAAAAATATTAGATTGAGAGGGGTATATATTTCACTCTTTCCTTCATAAAAAAAAAAAAAAAATTAGTCCTTCCCATTGGCAAGTTGTAAGTTCATAACAAAAAAGATTCCCATCCTTATGAGGCGAAGACTGTGATTGAGGTTGTGGGACCCGGTCTTTCAATCAAACAATGCTCCCTCCCTCCCTCCCTCCCTGCGCAGACCCAATTCCAACCCTGGAGTCGGAAAGCGACGCATCATGAAGTCATCTATGACGCAATCTCTGCCCCATATGATCCGCACGGATCGGCTACTAGTTAATACTCCATCGGTCCCGAATTTTCTAAAAACAAATTTTATCTCTAAATATAAAAAAATAATAATATTTTTAAATAATTAAATAATTTTATTTTTTTAAAAAAAATAAAATAGATCATTAATTATATATATTTTTATTATCATCATGATATTAATTATGATATCATTAAAAGTAAAAATTATTATATTTTTATGTGAATTTAATTAAATAATAAATTTTTATTAATATATAAGATTTGATTAAAAATATATTATACAGCTAGTACCTCCACAGCCCAAACCAACTGCAACATCATTCTTCATTACGTTAGCATGTTGAAATTTTAGCCAACATTAAGACTGTTTTAGGGGGGCGAAAATTAAGATGTCCAGCTGTGAGTTGTGATTTTTAACAGGAAGCTGATGAAGATGATGAGTTACAGCTTACTGCTCCTAGAGTAAGACGAAGAGGTTGTCTTCAAATGTTCTTTGAACTTTTAAGGGCTTCTTATTTGTTTTTAATTAATCAATTATTTTTGGGTTTGGTTGTTCAGGATACCCGTGCGTTGGTGGACGTGAATAAGGAAATATAGAAAAAGAAAATGAAATTGTGTGTTTTTTCCCAAAATGAAGGAAGACCGATCTGATGATCTGACATTTTTGCAAGATATATACTGCAGAAGCCGTGTTTGTGGCCCCTCAAGTTCACCAACTTGATTTATATAATAACTCACTCCCTCACTCCCTCACTCCCTCTTGCCTCCCTGGCTCCCTTCAAGCCACATATTCATGACCTCTCGCTTGTGACTCCTAAAATTCAGATTACGACTGTCACATCCTAGTGACTAATTCATATATGGTTAAATTTATACCACTTTTATTTAATTATTAATATGAATTAGGAGTATAAAATAAAAAGTTAGACTCACATAAACTCCTTTGTTTGACATTTACTTATTAATTTTATATATGGCCTCCATTTGTGACAAAAGGTGATTTAAAAACATACAGCTTGTACTTGATCATGACATGACCAATCAAGAAATATGCAAAAGAGGCTATCCTAGGAACCAACATAGTCACTCTTACATTCCCAAAAATTATCAACACAATGCTTTCCAGTCGTCCCACAAACCACATGTGTGTGTGTGTGTGTAATTCTCTCATAGTGGAGAGAGGGTTTGGTTGTTCCTTCTCAAACCTTCTAAAGGATCAACTTGGAATTGCCTCTTCCTCTGTTCTATTCTTTAATCATATAAATATAAATTTTAAAAAAAGTTCAGTCAAAAAAAGACCGAAAGCATTCCTTTCATCATACATCATTAAACAAAACCGGAAATATCAAACCGACTCAATTATGCAGCGGGTCAATGATCTGAGTTTGTTTCCTTGAATTAAATATATTATTGGAATATGAAACGAATTAATGCGTGGGAAAAGCTACAGACGACAAGTTTATGTTAATGAATGTAAATACATGCCTTTCGGAGGCAGATCAAGGCAAGGAAAGCAACGTCTTTGATTTGTACTACGTGTTAGTTAATTATATGAGCTTCTTCACAAATCCTAACACTCAGTTGTGGAACACAAGTTTAAATATAAGATACAGAAAAATATGTGTAGGAAGCTGCAACGAAACACGAGGCAACAACCAATAACCATATATTAGATAAGATCGTTGATTAAATAAAGACTTTGAATTGTGGGGGCGTTCTTAATTATTTACGTAAGAAACCACTCAATCTTCTTTTTAAAAAAGAGAAGAAGATGATATAAAGAAGTTCAAAGTTTATTAAAATAAAGCGTTTGGTTCAGAAGAAAAGGGAACAAAGAAGGAGACAAAACGGTGAGTGAGAGATAGGTTCACAGCTGGCCATGGACGAGCAAAGAGGAGCAGAAAAAGACGCATCCTTCATAGTCCATTCCATTAATTTGTGCGTGTGTGTATGTGAATCCACTTGTTATTATACGCGTGGCATTTTGCGACATTGCGAAGTGAAACAATGCTTGATGTACCTCTCATGCACTTACCCTAGAGGTAGATAATTCCTTTTTTTTTTATTTGTAAGGTATGTCGATGGCTTTTTATAACAAAATTCTCACTTTTTATAATACTTAAAAATCTAGATGAGTAGAGTTTTGAGGGCTTATCAAAATTAAAATATGATTTTAAATTTAAAAAATACTTATAAAATACTAACAATATTCTTACACCGACAACAAAACTTGATTTCACAGTTTTTAGAATTTGGTCAAATTTTTAACAACTGTACCATTCTTTGATGGTACAACATTATCTTTTTACCCCTTATAAAATGTTGGTGAGAAAAAATACATTATTAAAGTATATAAATTTATTAGGGATAAAGTTAAAAACTTATTAAATTCTTAAAAATTAGAGTTTATAAACTTTAATTTTTTTTAATTCTTATGTTAGAAGTAGTGTTTTATAAAATAGGGTTAAAGGGTAAAAAAACTCTGAAACTTTTTCCCTAAAGGCACCTAACATCTTAATTTTTTTTTTGAGCATTTTTATTTTGAAAGTTTAAAAAATAGAGCATTTTCACCTCATTAAAAATTGCAAGCATTGATTGTTAAATTAAAGTTTGATCAACAATATTTTTACATTTTTTCCTCCCTCCTTTGATGTTTAGTTTTTGATTTTGTTCTTCAATAAATTCTTTAACTTTTTTTCTTTCAATGAATAAAAATAAAGATCAAAAAGTGCATAAATGAATGAGTGAAAATCATAAAATACTCTTGTCAAACTTTAGTTAACAGTCAACGTTTTTCATATTTAACAGGGAGGTAAAAATGTTTTATTTTTTTGAACTTCTAAGATAAAAACACTCAAAAAAAAATTTAGGATGCTAGATGCCCTCAAAGGAAAAGTTTTAAAATATTTTTGACGTTCAATCCTATAAAATAATACAAAATATAGTATAGTATAAGGGTATGAAAATGGTTGGAACTCTTTAGCTTAAGTTATAAATTATTGATTATTGATTGATGATGTTGATAATGGTAATTAAAGTTGGTGATGTCATTATGGGGCCCCTTTTCTGCAACAAACTTAGTAACTACCTCTTCATTCATTTTATCCCATTCAGTTCATTCTACTTTAAATTCTTCAAAGTATGAACACGCTCTTTGCTTCAACAAACTAATTAAACTACCTTACCATTTCACACTTATCCTTAAATGCTTTTAATTAATGATAATGTTAGACGTCTCAAATTGCACATGATTTCCTTGTGTTTGGATAACAATAATCCTCATATTTGTTGGACAAATATTTAGATAAAAAAAATTATCACTGTATTCAGTCTAGATCTTCAATACGTTTTGTTTCAACTACTCTCTCTCCTTTCTGATATTCCTTTGTTGTCCAAAGTTCTTCACATGAGTTAATAAATCATTAATTAATTAATATAAAAGAGAAAGAAAAAGAGGAATATACATGTATGGTGTGGGAGGAGTTGGGATAAACAGAGAGAAGGAAGGATATTCCTTCCTTTTTCTTTATGTTTCAAAAGGAATTTATGGTCCTTAATGTAGGCCGTGTCACTCTAAAGAAATCTTTATAATGTTAACTTTTCTCTAGGAATATCCTAGAGATAAAGATGAAAAATTTTCAAAAGTCCTTTAGTCTTTTTAAATTAATGGTCTTAACTGGAGATAAAGATGAAAAATTCTTCAATCTTAAGACCATTTTAATGAGATAATTAAACTTTATTGATCTCAATGAGAAAATTAAACGTGACATGTTCCCTCTAGCCCCTTTTTATAA